CCGGATGGTATATATTGGTCAGTCCGAGGTCAGTGATCTGGTCCCTTTAGGACCTCTTCAGCTCGGAAGAATTTGCTGAGCCACAGATTGTGTGACAGAAAAAGGCCGATCACCAGGCAGGGTTTGTGCGACATATTAATTTTCACATATATATTCGAAAAAACATATTAACCTTTATTCTTTATTTTTTTCCCGAACAAACATGAGAAAAATGGCCTGCTTCACAGGCGCTTCGCTTGAAAGGAGGTCTAGTTGGAGCACAGGACCAGCTCTAAAAGTAAATAGTGCCGACAAAAGCATATGTTATGAAAGGCTGAGGACTTTGGAATTTCGAGATCGCCAGGCGAAAAACCAACTATGTCTTTCCGGTAGATCTACATGTGAAAAGGTATGAGAATTCTATTTGCATGTGCCTTCATAGAACTCTTGGCATCATACGACAATGCTAATCACTATTCTTATCTCCTTAACTTCGGCTTGGCGCTCTTTTTCCCAGCAAGATATAAAGCATGTAGAGGTATGTGGAAGTTCAACCAACTTTCCGCAAAAATAATTGAGGTATGTATATGCCAAAAGTCATGTTTACTGCAAGCGATAATTTCTCACAACGGGCCCTTACATTCCAGAAAACGAAAATATGGCCAATATTACTCTCAACTGCCTTATAATTCCCACCGGTCGCTTCACTAGAATTCCAAACAATGATGCTAATCTAACGGTTACAATTCCCCTTGGAAATACAGTCAGAAATCTTCACGCTCAGATTCAACAACAGTTACCTCAGCAATTCAGAAATGTCCCATTTTATCTTCGCGCACTCCGCTCTGGGCTTGTAAATTACGTTGCTATGCGACAAGGGGGATTGATTTCTAATTATTTTGATGAAAATCTCACTGCGGACGTTTACCATGTTCTTATAGAGGATGATGTATATGGTTATTATGACTTGTAATGCGAAATATTCGTGCGAAGCGCCTTAACGGCCAATTTTTATGTATTGTAAGCCGGCTACCGGCAACTATTTTACAGTATTTCATAAATAAAGTATTATTTTATCGAACGTATATGAGAAAGGGTCACGTGTAATGATGCAATTCCTGTGCTACATAAAAACCTATATTAACGCCCAGTATTCTCTTTCCCGAACAGAAATAAAAATTTATCTTACTCCGGAAAGTAACACTATTTTTTTTGTCCGAGCCAAATATCCCTATAAAAACGTAACACTATGTCTTCTGAAACCAGTACACCTTATACTCCAGCTTCCACCTCTACTACTGTTGCTGGAAATGAGACGGTCTCGCTCGCGGACGAAATTAAAAAATATGACACGGCCAAGCTTATAGAGTTTCTGAAGGGTCAGGAGGACTTAGGACTTAGCGAGTCAGCTCTTAAAATATTAGAAAATGAAGAGGTTAATGGCCGTACCTTCTTCAAGATAACCAAAGAAGAGCTTGAGCGTCATGGAATGAAATTGGGACCTGCAACTGCTCTCGTAGACTTCGCTAGGGAGTGCAAGGAGAAAAAGCTGAGGTCGTTCTCCTCGTACAAGACTAAGAAAGACTTGAAAGAGGTGTTAGCAAAGTATGGAGTCCAAGATGGGCGAATAACAGACATACCTCAATTTACACCAAGTATGATTTTTCCTTTTTGCCGTATATTACTTACCCTTCAGGAACTAACGTATAGTATTATTGCTTTATGAACAGAACCCCACAACATCGATGATAAGAACGAGGCTTTGTTACACTGTCTTAAAGATATACGACTCAGGCTACGCAATATGGGACCCGTCGTTGAAAGTAACGAAGCTATTCGTTGTGAATATATTTCGGCAATCCTCCATGCATGTATTAATATAGTCAGAGAACTTACCGGAAAAAAAATATCACTAAACCCGCAGTTCGAAGTTGTTGGCGAGGAAAATACAGGTCGTGTTGATTACGCAATCCAAGCGCTTGAGGAGTTAATTTGCATCACAGAGGGTAAACAATATCAAATTGCAATAGGATTCGCTCAGGTTAGTAAGCCTATTTTATTCCAGAGTTTCTTGCCTAGGCGCCTCCGGCAAGACTTGTTCCACTAACATACCTCTGGCAATCTACAGAATGTTATACAATGCGAAAGTGCTTTACAAACTAATAAGAGAAAACGAAAGGCGGATGATGCTTTCGGTGAAGAATATGACTATCTCTTCGGGATCGTGACTACAGCTACGGAATGGCATTTTCTCCTTTATACCCCAGATGGGCTTTCTTGCACGAGTAGAAACCCACTCAATATTCGTTTTGTCGAGTCTGCTTTGGAAGAAGGTTCGGAGGATGAAAAGGAGTTGTGTAAAAATGTGAAGCGGGTGATGGAGGTTATTGTTGGGTTATTGAGGGAACGGGTGGACGTTGAGAAAGAGCCTAAGAATAAAAAGGCTAGGGTTCAAGAATACCTTAAAAAAGAATAATAATAACGTTACTCCGCAACTGTCTGTGTATTAGCATAGAACTATCATGTATCACGGGCTAAGTCCCGATCTTGTATTTATTTTTGCATGTATGTATATTAATAAAAATTTTTCTTGGCAAATTTGCAGGTATATATGATAAGCGAAAAAATATTTAGTCATGGAACTACCATTCCAGGGCTATAAACAATTTATTTATATCATAATCACGCCTTAAATTCGTGATAGAGCCAATATATGTTCTGGCCCTAAAACACTTGTCTTGGTAAATGCGTCATATAAAGAATTTGGCCTATACTTTGAAGGAACCAAATTTGGATGATGAAGGAATTTCACGAGTATGTCATTCCTCCAAGCTTTCGTCTCCTCACGCTCCCAAGTTATCTCTATCAATGTAGATAGGTTACTGTAATTCATTTCCATTAGGTTTTGAAGCGAAGATCGTTTATTTTTTTCGAGGGTAAATAAACTCATCCCACCCCCAACAGCAGAGTCCACAGTAATAGGGAAGTTTTTATGAATATCCGATCTACTTGCTAAGATAGATAAGGGCGGAATTAAGGCTGGATAGTAGAAGTCGGCTAAGGGATCCAGTTCAAATTCACCGTCACATATAGTCCCAATATCTTCTAAATAATCCGAAAGTCTATTAGCATATCTATAACCTTCGCGAATCAACTTCTGGAATAACTTTCCATTCGGGCTGATCCATCGACCAGTTAGTAAATTAAGTACTGTTCTATGTATGTCTGATTCTTGCATATGGATTGTTGAAATTAGCATTTATGAAAGTGATAATAGATGATTAGTACTTATGAAAATGGTATGTTTAATTACTCATTTCCTCCCATATTCTTCTTTTTATAATATATGNTACTTATGAAAATGGTATGTTTAATTACTCATTTCCTCCCATATTCTTCTTTTTATAATATATGTATGCTCTTTCCTTACCTTGTCCGCATTGGACACAAAGCTGAACGCTTGATTTAGTGCCTCGTCCACATCCTTTACATGGTTGTGGGATTATTACGCCCTTTTGTATTTTGAATGCGTGGGATGCACAATATTGATCCCGTGCTGATTTTTCGCAGAAATGGGTCTTTCCAACCAACAACCAATTACAAGACATTTCTTTCCTCTGTCCATTATTCATACTCATTTTCATATTTAAAATTTATCGTCGTCTCTAAAGAGAGAGACAACGAATAAGTTGATCCCAAAGGGGGATCGTGCCTACTTGTATGATGGTCGTAAACCCCTATTAATATTTTTTTTTCTTAGCAAAAGTGATCGGCGTGAAGAATCTTCACGCGCACGTGATTTTTTTTTATTTTGAATGCTTATGTAGAGTGTATAATTTTATAGATCATGTCAACAGAGCTTGAATTATTGAGACAACGCATTAGCGAGCTTGAGACTAAGAACGCCAAGCTTGAGGCTGAGAAAGCTGAGATTGAGGCTAGGAATGTCGAGCTTCTAAAGCAGGTTATGGATGAGAATGCTAAGCGTGATGCTAGAGTCGAGGAATTAGAACTAAAAAATACGGAACTTGAGGCCAGACTCTTGATGTTGGAACAGGGATCCTCGGTAGTGGATGGGCAGTCACAGAACGATAGGGAAACGATAGCAAAAATATCAGCCGTTGATGAATCTGACTCCGTAATAGACCAGCAAAATGATGTCAACACCAAGTCAATGGAAGAGGTACCTGAGGTGATTGCAGAGCAATCGGTACCAGATAAGGTAATAGATGATTTTATTCTCGAAGAATCTGTCAACGTACCTGACTCAGTTATAGCTCAGCCCAAACAGTGTATACCCCCGCCTATTCACGAAGTTTATAGTCAGTTAAATTTATCAGAGGTGCGAGATCCAGGGCTGTGCAATCAGAATGGTTTGACTCTCACCCCACAGATCGAAGAGGTAGTTTTGCTACCAGATCAAGGGGGGTCGTTAGAGGACAGAGAGATGGACGCTTTCTTGGATGAAGAACAAAAAGGATTAGTGAGGAAATAAGATAAAGGAAGCGGGAGAAAAAGCTTCGAGAAGGTGATTCCCGGGAGAAGAATTTGGATTCAGAGCCACTCATAGCCGATATCTCTGATATCGATTCTCAGGATTCTGTCATTCCCTTGAACGAAAAAGATGGACAAGATGTTTATCTTGCCAGTCCATCATCCGAATCATGTGTTGCTTCACCCGGCTTTGAATATAGTAAGGAGGGAAAGTTCCCTATAAACAAAAAGTAGAAAAAGGTTTAGTATGTGAATTACTTGAATTCATTAGAAGCCATGAATCCTTACCGAATTCTACTGCATCTAGTAAACAAATTCCAGTCGATTCTGATCTAGCTCCGGGTTCTATACCTCATTTAGCTCACTTATTTGATAAGGCCGAAAAAACTGGTCGGAAAGAAAAGTTACGTTGGTATTACTATAGTGAGGAATTCGAAAAAAAGGCCATAACTATTGCTTTGGAAAACAATATTAGTGATCAAATGGCAAGAACGCAGATTTACAATGAAATGGAGCCCTACCTTCCAGGTAAGAAGAGAGAGAATTTACGCAAGGTGACTCAAAAAGCTAAAAATATTTATACACTGTTTAAAGAAATAGGAATAGATAAAATCGGGTTAGTTACATACAGTGTCGATGCTATTGGAAGTTTAACGGGTGCACAAATTCAAAATATAATAAACCTTTACACTGCAGAATGTCAAAAAGTGATCAGCGTGAAGAATTCTTCACGCTCACGTGATCTACCAGCTGAATCAAACAAGTCTGGATTGAAAAAATCACCAGATGTCGGGAAAAGCACTCCACCTACATCTCAGACTTCAAAAACCAATCAGACTAATGTACGAGTCCAATCTAAGCCAACTTATGACCGAGCCTACTTTCGCAACAAGATATTGGATCAATATCCTAATCTATATAAAGAATGTAGTTGTGAAAATTTCGATTATTATGGGATTACTGATGAGACATCATGCGGGGACTACATCTGCCCATTATGCAAATTAGGCCATGATGATGAAGAAATAGAAGGTGAGTATAAAGCCGGATCTTACTTTATTAAATGTGAACAGCGTGAAATTGAGATAACTGCATAGTCCAGATGATTAGACAGCTTTCTATCTGAAAAAATTTTTAATCTTTTTTTTCGAATTGATGACCTGAGGAAGAAAAAGGGATTTAAATTGTTTGCAGTCATATAAAAAGGAAAATGACTGAGTCTGATAAAATACTAACCGCCGAATATCTGGATTGGCATACCAAATTAATTGGATTACCAAGTATTTTGACAGATAAGATTCGTTCCAAATTATACAAAAGATATAAAAAACAAACTGGAAATGAGCCATGGCAACTAACAGAAGTACATGAATCGGAAGCTATAAATTCGAAGCCAGAAAACAAAGTATCATCTTTTCCCGAGCAATGTGAAGAAGAGGGGCCTATCACTTTCAAAGTCAAACCTGATCCAGAATTAATTATCAAATCCGTCTTAGAGCACTTCCCATACTTGAAATTCCGAAATAGTTTCAGAGGGATTGATAATTATAATTTTACATCTCTTTAGCCATGGAACTCACCATGCCCTATTTGCGATGGAAAACATGGGAATTATGGATTACATGGCTCATGGTACTGCGAAAATGGGAATCAGCTCCCTTATGAACCTAAATTAGCGAAGTTGTATTCCCAAGATAAGTTGAAGTATTGTCTTACTTGCTTCTTTTCAAGCAATAAATTCAAGTTCGCGATCATAGTATGAGCCGAAACGTCATGTACCACGAGCTTTGTCCCGATTTGTAATTAAACTATCACAAATCGTGATTGTGACTTGCATCATATCACATTTGAATCTAGTTGACCTACTGCGGTGGTTCAATCAAAAGTAAAATAAAAAGAAACTCCTCTATTTTCGCTAAATTGATGAATTGATCAAATTAATCATAAATCGTGATATATATAAATCCATTACTAATAGTTCGTTCTGCTTTATTCTGCTTTATAATCGTTCTGTTCATTCTAAATTTGAAATTCTGAAATTTGAACACGGTAATCTATCTGATCTATCTGATCTATCTGATCTATCTGATATGCAAATAAAAAGCCAATTTTTACTGAACTGCGTATCTTACCAAAACTCATTTACTAACGTTATAATGTCTACAATGTCTAACACTAAGGAATCAGCAAAGCTTAAAAAACTGGAGGAAGAGTTAAGAGATTTACCTGAAAAATCAGAGACTGTAGTGTCCTTTCATTTGCCAGAGTTTGAAGAAGCTTTTGACTGGGATGCGTATGCAGAGTGGGTCGAAAAGGGAAAACCATATGAAGAGCCCGAAGAAGTTTTAATGTTCTTAAATCAGAATGGAGTTTCTAACAAAAGATCAGATGGTAAACCTAGTGAATGTTCTATTTTCGTATGTAAATAATAATACTAAACTTTATTAATTTTTTAAGGAGCCAGCCGACTTAACACTGACGGGGGGAGAACAAGACACGATCATAGAGATGCTTTTTGCAAAAGTTCCGATCGGCATTTTCGAGACGCCAGGAAAGGATGGTATTCATTTACTCAAACCAAGGGAACCTCAACCGGAAGAAGCAAAGACCGTGAACATCGTGGTGAAACCGCCAGATCCGACCACGTTTCCTTTTCAAGCGCGAAACATCAAGAAAATGCTAAACGATTTAAGAACTTTAAACCTCTTAGATGATGTAATCGGGTTATGTAAGAAGGGTACGATTAGAACATATAATAGGGAAGAAAAAAAATTAAATCCGGTAAAGGAAGGAAAAGGAAAGAAATTACGGGGGGAAATAAATGTCTATGATGTCGTCCCTAAATGTTATAATATTTACGTCTATGTCCTACCTGAAGGCCAATATATTCTTTTATACCATATTTGCGGTAGATGGTTCAGGGCATTGGCCTATTTTAAAAACCATTATTTTTATTCACATTTCCTCTGTATTTACTTTTCTAATTTCAGAATGTTATCTAGAAAAAAAATCACTCTCTAGTTCTGCGAAATAATAGCTTTTATATCATTTTTTATTAACAATATTATGTTGCGACCTAAAACTAAACTAATTATCCATATGTATTAATTTTAACCTTTTGAACCCTCTAAATTAAAAAACAGTGGGGACTAATTAGGGCTTGCAATAAAAATTTACTTTCTTCATATGGTAGAATTGGGTTCGTGCTTATGATAATTGTTCATCCATTGATCAATTTGCCTTTCAATTGACAAAAATCAAATATGTTAATATACTCATATTTTTAAATCCTAAAAATAATCAAAATGATATTGGAACAAAAGAAAAAAGGATTGATCAATCTTGCTATTAGAAAGCGCTTAAAGGTCAATCAATATAAATCTAGTATTTCTCAGGATGAGATAAAATGTTGGAACACCTTTCCATTATCCATAAAAAGAGATCTGAAGAAACAGGATTGCGAGAAATCTCCTGTAAAAACTTACAAAGGAAAACTCAGAAAGCTGTGAAGATATATAAATTATTTGAAAAGGTAGGCGTAGATAATATTAAGTATATTACGACATATAGTGCAAACTCTATTTCTGAGTTGACTAATGATAAAGTTCAAGATATTATAGATAATTTCTCCAAGCAAAATGATAACGATAACACCGATGTGGAAGAAGTATCAATTCACATGACTGAGATTTCAGCCGGGGGCCCGGCCAAAATTCTTCAGGTGATTCCTCTAGTCCGGGCAGTTCGTCCAAAGCTGAAGTGAGTACATCATTTATTCCCCAGGGGAGAATCAGAGCTCGGCTTCCAATTTCTATTTTACCTGATGATCCTGATGATTCCGAAGAGAAACGAAAACATATCATTGGGTTGGTGTTAAAGCGTTTTCCTTATCTATCCTTGGAGTATAGTGAGAGTTATGGCGATAGTTTTGTGTTTAATAGTTCAATACGTTGCCCCATATGTAATAAAAACCATGAAGGCGAAAATATAAAGGGTGGATGGAGTTCTGGTATATATTCTGGAGAACATGCTTATTACCTTGAATGTTATGAGGCTTATAATAAAGAACTCCCAATAGTATCTGTAAAAGCATAGACTGAATTATCGTATATATTTGTTCTTTTTTTCGAACACTGGGTGGCTTAGATATTGTACGTCATCTTTATATTCGTCATGTGGGCCGATCACCTGAAATGCGCAGTCGATATCGGTAAAATTTCTTGCCGAAAAGCACTTATGAAAAAAATATACTCCTGATGATAATCACATGAAATCGATGTGTACACCCCAAAACTTTCTGTATGAACATAGATTATTTGATGTTCATTTCCAAAATAGCAGTGATTGGGCGTCGCATGAAGTATTTAATGATGTGCCAGACCCATTTCCAACTCCTTGGAAATCCCACTCATTGACAAGATGATGAACGAAATTACAAGCTACATAATCTCTCTGTTACCTAATATCCCGGCCAGATGCGCTTCTACAAACATATTCTCTCTATTATCTAAAATCCCGGCCGAATGCGCTTCTACAAATGCAAGAATGGAGGATACTATGGGTAATGTTTTCAATGTAACCATTTCACATTGGAACGTAAATTTAAGAGCAGAAGAAGTTATGGGGCTGAATGCTATAGCCCAAGAGTTAGCACTACGCATGTTGGAATCTCACTATAACAGTCCCATTGCCGGAGGTAATAGAACTAAAGCGAAGAGAGAGACCCAAAGAGGTCGAACCACAGATAAGAAACCCGCGGAGAGAACCACAGCTAATAAAACCATAGCTAAGAAACCTATGAGAAGAAGCGTTAGAATTAAAAATATGAACGCAAAATGAGTGGCCTAGATTTTCATTATGGATGCATCCATATATAGCTTTATGAAATCTTATATGCCCTGGTTACCGAGAAAAATATGTCATATCTTCCGTCCCTTTGGGATCATTTTTTTATGTTAATCGGGAACCAGCTTTTAGGATTCTGTGGAGATTAGTTTCATTTTTTTTCAATTCGAAATGTACACTGAGGTTGTCAAAGGCAACAGCAATAGAATAACGCGTATTCCTGGAGTTTGCTTAAGCAAACAAGCACCTTATGAAATGAGATCAAATGCAGAACTTAGTTTTTTTCTTATATATAGTATTTTCTTATGTTTTTTGTTATGCCATAGGCTCATAGCTGATCAGTCTAATAAATTTGCGCAACTATATTTTTAAAAATTCTGTCCTACCATATCTAATGATCTTACAATTGTTTCAATTTTTCCTGATGACAGTGGAATCTCAGAATAGGGGCTGTGCGACACTGTATATATTTCACATTAATTTTTCTGAGTCTATTTTTTGCATATCATCTCCAGAGCTTGCGGGTTCACGCTAGTATCATACCAATAAAACAATATTCAGGTATGGATATTTTTTCCGATAATCTTTATTTCGCATATGGGATTTGGGGGTATATGCTAATCCTTCATCATTTTTATTGATTTGCAAGGGATTAATGAATGACGAAATGCGATGCGTAATTGCTAGTGAAGATCCGGGGAATGATTTCTCCTACGATGTTTATAAGTGCTATAAAAGGGTAAGAAGGGAACCTTTTTTCTCACAGCTGTTCTAATGCCTTATCCTCTAGCTGATTAACAATCGAAGGTGGGCAATATGGATAAATCACATATCGAAGCTCTTGCAATAAATATCGTTAGTAAGGCTAACGCTCTCCCCTCCTCCAGTGAGAACACTAGTATTCCAAAAGTAGATCCGTGCCCAATATGCGGGAATGATATCTATACGCTTGAACTCTCCGTAATCAAAGAATTTACCTTAGCTTCCTGTGGACATATTTTTCACCAAAAATGTCTCAAAGAGTATTTGGTGGATGGTGAGTCTAGTTGCCCTTATGATGGTTGTAATAGAGATATCGAAACTTTTCTCTCTTGGGATCTTTTAAAGGGATTGCAAAACCAGACAGCCCCCATAGACGTAGAAGTGCTTACAGAAGAATCTACAAACCAGAAAAAACGTTCTAGCGAGTTTGCTTCGGAAAAAGATTCAAATAAAAAAGCGAAGCAGACCAGGAAGCAGATTGATAGAGATGAATCCCCTACATTGAAAAAACTAATTATGGAGTTGACTTCTCCGGAGTCCCAAGAAGATGGTCTCTCTCGAGACTCCCTCATCACTTTGCAGTCACGTGTCTCTGAGATGGACGTAAACTCGCTTGATTTTCTCGATTTATATAATAAGATTGGTACTGCTGAAGACAATCTTCGAAGAACCTTTCATGATTTGCTTCGATGCTATTATATTTTTGGCCAAGCCACTAAGCAGTTATTCGATCATTTTAGAAAAACTTGTAATGAGGATGCATCTAATGCTAAAGTTAACGATAGAATCATGAATCAGATTTCTGTACAAGATAAGCTTACCGAGACTAACCTTCGAAAAAGAAAGGAAAGGGGTAAAAAGGTTTTCAGACTTTTTAGTAATGTTGGTGGTATAGAAGCAATAGAACGGTTAAAGTCTTTTAATGCTACTACAATCTTAAATCTATC